TGGATTAAAGGAGAAATAATTTAAAACTGTAAATATGAGTAGCACACGTCTTTCTAGCTGTAAACTGTCTCCTTTCCCAACAGACAAAGAAATCCAATCTGAAAATTATTCATTAAAATTATTTCCTTTAGAAGATGTCAGTACAAGTTAAAAAAAGGGTTTTACTAATGATAAATGTATCATCTCTCCTTGGTACTGTTGTTCCTTTCCATTCCCTTCATCCATCCTTATGTGGTAGCTTACCATCCAAGCCCACCAGCAGCAGTCAAAGCTTGGGCCATGAACTTGTACCTGTCCATACACTGTTACCAATCAGGGAAGAGATAAGTACAAAAAAAGTAAGTGTTTAGAAATTTCAATAGCAATTTCACAGAGTGATTTCATGTCTGTTGAATCTAAAAATAAAATATATGGAAAAAATAAAAATTAAAAACATGGGTTTACATATTTTTTAAATTAAGGATTACTGTGGTATAATTTACATATAGTAAAATCCAACTTTTTTAGGTGCCCCTCTGCAGTCAATCTCTTCTCCTAATGGCCAGTCCTTGGCAACCATTGATTTGATTTCTCTTCTTACAATTTTACCTTTTCTAGAATATGATATAAATGGAATCATAAACTAAGTAGTCATTGTGCCTGGCATCCTTCACTTCACATAGCGCTTTTAAGATTCAATCATGTTGTTGCATGTATCAATAGTTTGTTCTTTTATCTTTCTAGTAGTATTCTATTGTATGAATTTATCAAAATGTTTATCCATTTACCAGTTGATGGATTTCTGGGCTATTTTCAATCTTGGGTGATTATGACTAAAGGTGCTATAAGCATTTATGTGCAAGTCATTTTTTGTAAATAAATATCCAAGTGTTCTAGCACCATTTTTAAAAAATGACTATCCTTTTTTTTATTGAATTATCTTGGCATTGTTCTTGAAAATCAACTAACTTTATACCTATGAGTCTATTTCTGGACCTGTATTCTCTTCCATTGATCTATGTCTATCTTTACACCAATGCTATGCTACCTTGATTATTGCAGATTTATAGTAAATCTTGAAATAAGTAAGTTCTACAGATTTGTTCTTTTTCAAAACTGTTTTGGCTATTCTAGTTCCTGTGCTTTTCCATATAAAATTTAAAATCAGCTTGTTGATTTCTGCAAAAAGCTTGCTGGGATTTTATTTGAAATTGTAGATTCTATAGGTCGCTTAGAGGAAAACAGATATTTTAACAACACTGTCTTCTGATGAATGAAACTTGGTATGTATCTCCATTTACTTAGGTCTTCTTTAATTTCTTTCACCAATGTTCTGCAGTTTTCATTGTAAAAATCTAGAATGTATTTTACTAGATTTATCCCTAAACATTTCTCATTTGTGGATACTATTGTTAAGTGGTATGTTTTAACTTCAGTTTCTAACTGTTCATTGGTAGCACAAAGAAATACAATTAATTTTTACACATCAATCTGTGACTTTTTAAAACTCATTTATTAGTTAGTTCTAATACCTTTTTCATTGATTCTTTTTTTTTTTAAGACTTTATTTATTTGACAGAGAGAGACAAAGCGAGAGAGGGAACACAAGTAGGGGGAATGGGAGAAGACGCCGGGATCATGACCTGAGCCGAAGGCAGACTGAGCCACCCAGGTGACCCTTTTTCTCATTGATTCTTTTGAGATCTTCTATGGAGACAATCATGTCATATAGACAGTTTTAACTTCTTCCTTTCCAAACTGAATGTCTTTTATTTCTTTTTCTTGCATTACTAAACTGACTAGGACTTCCACTACAATACTGGCCAGAAGTAGTAAGACTGGACATCCTTGACTTGCTCCCAAACTTAAATGGAAAACATTTCACTTCATCATAAAGTATGAAATGTTTCTTTTAAGTTTTCCATAGATGATATTTAAACAGGCAGATGGACTTCTCTTCCTATTTGCTGATAATGTTTATCATTATTGGGTATTTAATTTTGTCCGATACTTTTTCTGCACCTATAGGGATGTTTTCTTTTTTATTCTGTTAATATTGTGAATTCACATTGATTGATTTTCAAATATTACATCAACTTCCCATTCCTGGATGATCCTCACTTGGTTATAATGTATAATCTTTTTAATATACTGCTGGGTTTAATTTACTAAAGTATTATTAAGAACTCTCATGTCATGGGGCACCTGGCTGGCTTAGTCGATAGAGCATGTACTCTTGATCTCAGGAGTGTGAGTTCAAGACCCACATTGGGTGTGGAGCCTACTTTAAAAAAAACAGAAAAGAGATGCAGGATCTAGTTACAATGTAGCTGTAAAGTGCTGCCTTGTCTTTGCCCCCTGCTCAAAATAAAGCTGTTACCTTTCTAGCCCTGTCCGCCATGGTGCTTAGCAGCCAGGGATGCATGGTCTCAGACATGTTTACCAAATAAAACACTGACTTGAGGGGCGCCTGGGTGGCTCAGTCGTTAAGTGTCTGCCTTCGGCTCAGGTCATGATCCTGGGGTCCTGGGATTGAGCCCCACATCGGGCTCCCTGCTCCGCGGAAAGCCTGCTTCTCCCTCTCCCACTCCCCTGCTTGTGTTCCTGCTCTCGCTATCTCTCTGTCAAATAAATAAATAAAATCTTAAAAAAAAAAAACAAAAAACAGAAAAGAGTTTTCATGTCTTATGTTCATGGGGGTATCATTCTGTAGTTTTATTTTCTTGTAATGTCTTGGTCAGGTTTTGGTATTTCCACGGAATATTTCTTCCCCATCCTTTTAACTTACCCATGCGTTTGAATTTAAAGTCGGTTTCTTGAAGGCAGCATTTAGTTGGGTCTTGCTTTTCTATCCAATCTGACAGTCACTGCCTTTTAATTGCTTATGTGATTATTAATATAATCATTGATATGGTTGAATTTGTATCTACCATCTTGCTAATTACATTCTATTTGTCCCATCTATTCTTTTTCCCCTTTTCTTCTCTTCCTGCATTCTTTTGTTATTTTTTTATGATTCCGTTTTACCTCTACCACTGGTTTATTAGTTACACCTCTTTCATTTTCTAGTGGTTGTTCTAGAGTTTACATCTTTAATTTCTTTTTTTTTAAAATTTTTTTAAAGATTTTATTTATTTGAGAGAGAGAGAGAGAATGAGAGAGAGCACATGAGAGGGGGGAGGGTCAGAGGGAGAAGCAGACTCCCTGCCGAGCAGGGAGCCCGATGCGGGACTCGATCCTGGGACTCCAGGATCATGACCTGAGCTGAAGGCAGTCGCTTAACCAACTGAGCCACCCAGGCGCCCCTACATCTTTAACTTCTTACAGTCTACCTTCAAATGATACTATACCACTTCGTGTATAGCGTAAGGCCATTAGTGTCTGTAAGGCCCTGACAGTTAGTTGATCTGCGTATTGGCACTGTTGTTATCTTTACCCTCAATGCACCAGACATTTCGAATTCTTTCATTGTTGAGCTGTTACTTTGTGCATCTAGATGGGGGTTGTAGCGCAGTGCTGGAAGATCATTCTCAGTGTTCCTACTCTACCTTCAGCTTTCAGCAGTCACCACACAACTCACCACAGTGGGGTCTCTTTCCATATTACTGCACCTTCCCCACTGACAGACTGCTTGTTACTAGGTGTTAGGCTTATTTGGGGGCCAGGTTGGTTTTTGGGCTCCTGGTCTGAGACAGGGTCTATGAGCCTGCTTTTGGATGGGATGGGCTAGAAAGCTGTAAGCTCTTCTGTCCCTCCCACCTGGTGGCAGCAGAACCCTGCCATGTATCTGTGGTGGTCCTTGGGCAGGAGTTGTTGTTCTGTCCCTTTCCCGGTGGTACAGACCACTGTTTTGCCTTGGTTCAGGATCCTGGACCTGAAGAGTGTTTCCAGCCCTTCCCTCAGGAGAAGAAGGCTTTTGCTCCTATCCTTCTCCCAGAAGGGCCATTTTGTCTAGCTCCTGCGGGAGGGAAGGAAGATGCCCTAATCTAACCTCTTCCTCAAGTAGAAAGGTTTTGGGTTTTTTTGCCTCTACTCTTCCGCCAAAAGCCCATGGGTTGGAGACCTAGCACAGTGCCTGGTATATAGCAGCCTCTTCATGAATATACACTGAGTCATTGTATATTGAATGAAACGAATAGATCTGGTCATTGTTCTACCTAGCTTTTTCTTGCGTTTTTTTCCCTACGGGCTCTATCCTCTCACCCACCCACACCCCCCCTTTTTCTTTCCAAGTGTATATAATTAGATCTCACAGACTCTATATACACCAGCATCCCTTTTCATGCCCACTACTGTTTGAAGACTCTGCTGGCAGCCCACCTGCCTGATCAACTGGCCTCACACCTATAATAGTAGCATTAGGGCTGAGATAGTTCTAGCTCTGTCCTTTGGATGATCCGGCAGACCACTTGGTGGTCAGCCTTTGTAGCCAGGTAAGTTTCTCATAACCATCTCAGGGCCTGGGTGAATGGATTTCTATCTGACTTGCCCATTTTTCCTCCTCAGTGGTTATATGTTGCAAGTGACTCACATACCTCAACCCCTACACCTCCTTGAGTCACAGTAGGCACTTCATTTTACTAATGTATTTTATTATTTAGTTTTCCACATGCCATGATCAACCTTCTATTAGGATAGATAAGGAGAATGCCACTGAAAGCAGAAATCATGTTATTTCTTTCTGAATCTTTAAAAATTCCTAACATAGTAAGTAGATATACATTACTGAATGAGAGAATATGTTGGATCCTGCATTGAAAGAAAGCTCTTCATAAGTCCCCTCCCTGAATTAAGTCAACTTACATTTATACTTTAGTTTTTCCTTTCTTTGTCCCAACAACTCATTTTTACTTCCTCATACACCTCTGTGGGGATGCTAATGTGTGTCTTGATGAATGTAACTGATAATCCCTGATAAGACCAAACATACCTTGCAGTTCAGTAAGGTTCACCTTTTTCCACAATCACATTGTTAACTAATCTCATTATTCCCGTAGATTTTAAAGAAAAGAAGCTCTTACCCAGCCTTAGCAACACTTATGGTTTGTTGCTCCATTGCTTCGTGGATACTGGTTCTATCATGCTCTTTGAGGCTGTTAAACTCATCGATACAGCAAAGGCCCGCATCTGCAAGTACTAATGCGCCAGCCTCCAAATTCCATTCTCCTGAGTCTTTCACAGCAGTTACCGTCAGACCTAAGGAAACAAGCAAGCTATGTCAGCTTTTATTTTCAAAAGCATATTTTATACCTATAAGGGGAAAGCACCTACATTTTAAATGGAAAAGAGTCAATGCTTTTATTTCTAATCTGTCAAGAAGGAATGGCATCAGACAGAGAACTGGTGGTTCCCAAGGGGAGGAGGAACGGGAGGATAGGCAAAATAAGGGAAGGGAATTAAGAAGTACAGACTTACAAATGAATCATAGGGATGTAAAGTACAGCATAGAGAATATAGTCAATAATATCGTAATAACTTTGTATGGTGACGGATGGTAACTAGACTGATCATGGTGAGCATTTCACAATGTATATAAATGTTGAATCACTATGTTGTATACCTGAAATGAATATAATATTGTATGTCAACTACACTTCAATAAAAAAAATGGATGGCATCAGGACAACTATTTCTGGTGTCCAGGCACTGGAAGACCTCAGAAGATCCTATGTTCTGAAAATATAAGATGTGTTATTGAGTATTTTATAGCAACTGGAAGTCTCCAAATTTTCTCTTTCCTTGGTAGGGACCCTCACTGAACAGAAGGAGCAAACAGATCTCCAGAGATCTTCTGACAAGAGGTTCTGTATTATATGCTGTTTATAGAGAGGGGTCCAAAGACAGAAAACAGTAGATATTAGAGTCCAATGATGAAAATGAAAAGTTTGCTCCTAGTCACAGCGTGAGAAAGAAGACTCCTTTAATATGTCTTTTCTGGTTTTGATTCATCCTTTATACCAGAGTGGTCAAAAGCAAAGGCTTTGGGGGCACCTGGCTGGCTCCATCAGTTAAGCATCTGACTCTTGGTGTCAGCCCAAGTCATAATCTTGGGGTCATGAGATTGAGCCCCACAGTGGGCTCAGCACTCAGCGCAGAGTCTATTTGAGATTTTTTCCCTCTCCCTTCCCCTCTGGCCCTCTCCCGACTTGTGCACGTGTGTGCTCTCTAAAATAAACAAACAAAAAAATAAATAAAAAGGCAAAGGCTTTGGAGTCACACAGACTTGGATCCTGAATCTTGGATCTGTCATTCTGGTTGTCATATATAGGCAAGTTTCCTAATATGTTCTGGCCTCTGTTTATTCATTTATAAAAGGGCATAACAATGGAATGTATCTTATAGAGTCTTGGATGTTCAAATAGAATATAATAAAGCTCTTTAGGGGCGCCTGGGTGGCTCAGTTGGTTAGGCGACTGCCTTCGGCTCAGGTCATGATCCTGGAGTCCCAGGATCGAGTCCCGCATCGGGCTCCCTGCTCAGCAGGGAGTCTGCTTCTCCCTCTGGCCCTCCCCCTCTCATGTGCTCTCTCTCTCTCTCTCAAATAAATAAATAAAATCTTTAAAAAAAAAAAAAAAAAAGAATATAATAAAGCTCTTTAAAAGGTATATGACACATAGTGAGTACTTATAATAACTACTGTTGATCAAAATTGATAAGCTAGGCTGACCAAGAAAAAAAAAGGAGAAACAAATTACAAGTATCAGGAATGAGAGGGGGATATCACTATAAACCCTACAGATACTTAATAATAGTAAGTAAATACAATGAACAACTCTATGTCCTAAGTTTGATAACTTAGATGAAATGGTCAAATTCTTTGAAATATATAAACTGTGAAGTTTATCTAAAAAGGAATCAATAGCTTGCATACTCCTATATCTATTTAAATCTACAGACTAAGATGACTTCATGGTGAATTCTACCAAACATTTATGAAAGAGATAATACCAATTCTACACCAGATTTTCAAAAATACAGAAAAACAAGGAACATTTCCCAACTCATTTAGTATAGCCAGCATTATTAAGATACCAAAGCCAGATAAAAGATATATCAAAGGAAAACTAAAGACCAGTATCTCTCATAAACAGAGACGCAAAAATCCTCAAAAAATACAAGCAACTCAAACAATACATAAAATAATAGATTATAACCAAGTAGGGTTTATCTTGGGAATGCAAGGCTAATTCAACATTCAAAAACTAACCAATGTAATTCACCATATCAATAAACTAAGGAAGAAAAAGCAAATGACCATCTCAATATATTCAGAAAAACACCTGACAAAACTCAACAATTATTCATGATAAAAAAAGTCTCTCAGAAAGCCAGGAAGAGAGGGAACTTCGTCATTCTTAGTATTTACAAAAATCATGACATATTTAATCATAAAAGACTGAATGCTTACCCCCACCCTCATCCCCAAGATCAGGACAAGGCAAGAAGATTAGCTCTCATCATTCCTATTCAAAATCTTGGTGGAGGTTCTAGCCAGTAAAATAAAGGAAAAGAAATTAACAACCATCAGATCAAAAAGGAAAAATAAGACTATATTTTCAGACCAATATGACTGTGTATAAAATTCTAAGTAATCTACAAAAAAGCTACTAGAAAACTAAGTGAGTATAGCAAGTTTGCAGGATGGAAGTCAATATATAAAAATCAATCATATCTCTATACATTAGAAAAAAATTAAAAATGGCAATTAAAACATAATACAAATTGGGGCACCTGGGTGGCTCTGTTGGTTAAGTGCCTTCCGCTCAGGTCGTGATCCCGGAGTCCCCAGTCGAGCCCCGCTCTTGGGCTCCCTCCTCATCAGGAAGTCTGCTTCTCCCTCTGCCCCTCTCCCTGCTCATGCTCTCTCTCTCATTCTCGCTCTCTCAAATAAATAAAATCTTTAAAAATAATAAAAATTAAAATAATACAATTTATAATAGCACCTGAAGATATTAAATACCTGGGTATAAATCTTTAAAAATGTGCAAGATCTGGGCTGTGAATTCGAGCCCCACCTGGGTGCAGAGATTACTAAAAAATAAATAAAAAATTTTAAAAAATGTGCAAGGGGCACCTGGGTGGCTCAGCCAGTTAAGCGTCTGCCTTCGGCTCAGGTCATGATCCCAGGGTCCTGGGATCAAGCCCCATGTCGGGCTCCTGGCTCAGCAGGGAGCCTGCTTCTCCCTCTCCCTCTGCCTCTTCCCCTGCTCCTGTGCTCTCTCTCTCTCTGTCTCAAATGAATAAAATCTTTAAAGAAAAATGTGCAAGATCTGTACGTAAGAACTACACAACGAGATAGTCCATGTTCATGAAATGAATTGAAAAACTCAGTATTTTATTTATTGATTTTTTAAAGATTTTATTTTTTTATTTGTCAGAGAGAGCGAGCACAAGCAAGGGGATTGGCAGGCAGAGGGAGAAGCAGGTTCCCTGCTGAGCAAGGAGCCCAGTGCAGGACTTGATCCCAGGACCCCGGGATCATGACCTGAGCTGAAGGCAGATGCTTAACTGACTGAGCCACCCAGGCATCCCTAAAAAACTCAGTATTTTAAAGATGCTTCCCCAAATTGTTCTATAATTCTCCCTAAATTGGTCTATAGATTCAATGAAATTCGAAACACAAATTTTTTAAAAAAGATTTATTTATTTGAGAGAATGAGAGCAAGCAGGTGGGGGAGGGGCGCAGATGGAGAGAGAGTCCTAAGCAGACTGTGCACTGGGCACAGAGTCTGACGAGGGCTCAATCTCACCACCCTGAGATCACAACCTGAGCGACACCAAGAGTCAGACACAACCAACTGCACCACCTAGGCGCCCCCTCCAACAAAATTCTAATGGGGTTTTTCTTTTTATAGAAATTGACAGAGTGATTCCAAAATTTATATGGAGAAGCAAAGGAAATAGAAGAATCAAACCAAAAAACAAAGTAGGAGGTCATGATTTAATTTCCACATTTACTACAAAGCTACAGTAATCAATTCAGTGTCATACTAGAAAAAGAAGAGACAGAGAGAACAATGGAATAGAGTCCAATAATAGGCCCATACATATCTGGTCAAGTGATTTTTTGATAAAAATACAAAAGCAATTCAATGAAGAAAAGATAATCTGTTCTATAAATGGTGCTGGAATAACTGGATAGCCTTATGCAAAAAGAAAAAAAATCAATCTTGATCCATACCTCAAATGTGATACAAAAATTAACTCAATGAATGAAAAGATCTAAACGAAAAATGTAAAACTTTATAGATGAAAACTCAGAGAAGAAAATACAAGAGAAAATCTATGTGAGTTCTTCTGTTTTCCAGTCCAGCATTTAAGGAGCTCAGAAGTTGCCACAAGTTGCCACTTGTTTAACAGTAAGTTAAAACCTGAACAAACTGAAAAATGAATAATTTTTCTAAGATGCATTAGAGAAATGAGGTCACAGGGCAAACCAATGCCCCCCCTCCCCCAAATTAGGAAGACAGAAAGACAGAGAATCACAACTTACCAGAGCTGTTACCTCTAGGGGAACCAGTAATGGTATAAGAAAACCTGAACTGTAATTGATGAATTGCTGGAGGCTCAGAGTGGACAACTCTGAGAATTAAAATCTCCATTCATGGGGGACCCTCAGACTTTTGTGAGTTTTAACTCCAAGAGTTATCCCAGGTTCTCACATTAAATATTGGCAATTTTTCTCTGATATTATAAGCAAAGAGATGGAAAGTCTAAGAAAAAAATAAAAAAATTCTAGAGATCAAAAACACTGTAAAAGAAAGGAAGATTGCCTTTGATGAGCTCATTAGTGGATTGGACATGGTTGAGTAAAGAATCTCTGAATGTAAAGATAGTATAAGTTTCAATGGAAACTTTCAAAACTGAAAAGCAAACAGGAGAAAAGGTGAAAAATAACACAACAGAATATCCAAGAACTGTGGAACTATAAAAGGTGTAACATAAATGTCATGGGAAACCAGCATAAAAAGAAAGAGAGAAAGGAACAGAAGCAATATTTGAAGCAATAATGACTAAGAATTAGTCATTAATTGATTAATTAATGTCGATACCAAACCATGGATCCAGAAAACTCAAGCTAACACTAAGCAGGAAAAATGTTTTTTGTTTTTTTTTTAAAAACTACATGTAGGCATGTCATATTTAAATGTCAGAAAATCAAACATAAAGAAAAAATCTTGAAAGAAATCAAAGGA